TCCGTAAGGGTTCTCTGAGTAATCTCCTCGCATAGTTTCTTTGGTTTATTGGCTTTAAACTTCTCAGCCCACAATGCTGGTTTGGGCCACCAAATTGGCATTAAACCCACACTAAAGAAAACAGGGTGAAGGAACCGGGCCAGACGAAAGCCACGGCCGTTAAGCATGCCATAGCCTTTGAGCCCCTGTTTTGTTTTATGTGGCCGCATTAAATATTTAACACTTTTAGCCTCAGTGCGAGATGCAGAACTGGAAATGACTGGCTGATTACACATTTAAAGCAGCCAGTGAACTTAAAACTCTTTCTTCAGCAAATGTGGGGTTATTGCACTGTGTTGAGGGGGTATGTGGCTGAGTGGGTTGGGTCACTGTGCCTCTAATCAGAAGGACACTGGTTCAAATCCCAGAGTCAGCAGAGTGATGTCACCATCGGGGCCCCTCAGCAACGGCCCCTAACCCCATCTGCTCCTGGAACTTTCTCGAATGTATGTCGATGTGGATTGAAGCATTTGCTTAATATGTCAGTGTGTTGGATATAAGGCAGTCAGTCAGAATTAATGATTTTGAATAGTATTATGTGTTGGGTAATACATTGTTTTCCTGGCTAGTTTTATTTCTGTTGCAGCATCTCACAGCAGGAAAACAGGCATTTTCTCAGACTCCCGTTTCAGAAAACGGTCGGCATAAGCAGAGCAGAGTATATCCCAGGAATACCTGGCAGTACCGGCGGCTGTGGAGAACGGTCCGCTTTTAGTCATATCTGTTTGTAAGTTTGAGATTTCCCCCCCCCCCCTGCCCCCCACCACCCAGTGGAAAAGCCACACATCGGCATAGTTAGGCACCCGAAACAAAAGCGGCCTCCCCAGCTCCCTGCGTGTAATGAAAAGGAACAGTTTCCATTGCGCTTAATGAAAAGCTATCTTAGCAGGACTCTCTGCTTATCCGCCTCCCAGAATTCCTTGTGTAAGTTGTCTAACTCGATTTGTCTCAGAGTCTCCCCCCCCCCCCACCCCCCCTCGCCCCACCAGCAACCCGTATCCCAGGAGGCTTGACCTGGATACCGAATTTAAATTTTCAGTGGACGACTGTGCACGGGGATGGTGCCGAAGTTTGACAGAGGCGATGAGACGCTTGTGAACGGACAATGCGCACAAGCGCGCTGTTTCCCTAGGAGAGCGACTGTCGCCAAGGCACCGGCGAACACGTTCATAGCAACCTGGTGCGATATGTGTGCATCAAACGGGGGGAAAAAATAAAAAGAGTTCAAACAGCAGAGTCGCAGATGGTGCTATTTTCAAAGTGTCTGAAAATATCTCCAGGAAACCCAACAACGACTACCATGATTATATGACTTTAAGGCTGAGCTACTTTTTTTTTTCCCCAGTCGGAAAAACACGTTCAGTTACTCAGTTCAATTTATATTCATAATACTGCTAAATTTCTTTTAATACCCTGCACAAGCGCCAAAACACACAGACTCAGAGCCAGCACTGTTGCATTTGAGTTGTATCACAATGACACGCACTGTTAACACCCAAATGTGTTGCATTTTTTTTTAAACCACTAGCTTTGCTTAATACGTAAACACACTCTGGGTGTCGAACCTGCAGTAAAGACCAAACCACTGCCCAGGCACTGCATCACCATGCTGCCTCCGCAACTACTAAAGACGGACCCCATTTATTTAACATTTACTGCAGTGACTGTTGGTGGCCTCCAGGGGGCCCTCATGCAAGTGTGTGGTTCGAGTGCTGGTAAACACCACTGCTGGGTCCTTGTCAGATAAGGCTGAAAGAACTACATCTGCATCTCGCAAGAACTTAACCTCTGTCCTTAAATAGCAGATACCCTTCCAGGCAAGGCAGTAACTTAATATTCTGTCCAAAAATCGCAAACTGCAGGGCAGGTTAGATGCACCGACGCTGGATGTTGACACCCACTCTAAGCGACCTTAACTTACCGTATGTGGACATGTCTCCTTACACACCCATACAGGGAACCTATTAGCATGTAGTAGTGACCAAACCGCCCTGTGTTCCAGAAGCATACCCCACAGAATGTGTGGAGAGCTGGAAGAAACATTTTGAGGTGCTCCTTAATGTAGCGTCTGTGCCCTCTCAGCAGGGGGCAGTGTTGAGAACGGCAGGGGTATCAGAGTCGATCAGTGGGGCTGAAGTTGCTATGGTGATCTTATGTTCCTGTGGAGGAAATCTGCAGGGGGAGATGAAATCAGAGGGTAGGGTACCTCTGGACTGGCAAACAGGGGCAGTGGTTCCTATTTTTAAAAATGGGGAGCAGAAGGTGTTTTTCAGATTTAGGGGGATTACTTTTCAGCTTGCATGGAAAATCTTATACCAAAGTACAGGAGGAACAATGACATAAAAAACGATGAATCGCTGATCAAAGTACGCATTTTAAGAAATAAATTATTTTTAAAATTCAAAGAAAATTTCAATTAAATATACTCTGCAAATAATTTTATTTTTTGTTAAGCTGTGGATCTATGCAGTTTGCAGTGGTTCATCATTATTACTGCTTCGAACCACCAGGGGGTGTGGTGGTTAAGGATCTGTCAGAATTTTTTTAAATCTGGCTCAAACTTGATATGGGGACTGGCTTTTGGGGCGTAATTGGAGTTAATTCTGCCAACGAATCCACAGGATTATAAGCATCACATCGGACCAAGCAGAGAGACTGTGGATAAAGGAACCAAGTAAAGTTCTTCAAAGGGAGACAGACTATCAGACAGCCCTCCTAAGGCCAGGGAAGCTAAAGAAATCTCCACTTAAGATCCATTCAGGCGCTTAGCAGAGTGTTGGAGGAAGGGGGCGACTTTTCTTTGCAACGGGCCTCTTTATGACTCATTGTAACACTAACAAACTCACAGGATGAGGGACTTGAGGCAGAATAGTGTCTTGCAGGTTGCACTGACAGGGCCAGACTGCACTAAGCATTACCGTATTACCTCTAATTTACAGGCATTCACTTTCGTGCAGACGTGAGCATCCAGACCTTCTGTAGGTACTGAATGCAGGCCATACTCACAGACACAAGTCGCTGAGGTCATTATGACCGCTGAGATGATGGCTACTCTGGCAAAGGCACCTTCACTAACCAGATACATGCACTTATCTCCCACAGAGAAATAAAACAGTTTGCAAAGAACATTAGGCCTTAACTGTCCACTGGCATCTGTGTCTGTTGGGAGCAGAGGGGAGTATGATTGCCGCTTTGGTGATTCTCCAGTCCGATTAAAGCACTCAGCAGCACGGGAGAATCCTGGGACTTATTTGGCGTCAAAATAATAACGACAGAGATAGATAATCGCACGCTTGTGCACCTTTTCATGCATGGACAGATAGCACTGTCTCATCCGGAGTTTTGCTAGCCGATAATTGCTAGCTGTACATGCGGGATATTTTCTGTAAGGAACAAACTGGCGAGTTTGACAACAGACAGTTTTTCCTTCGTTAATTTCGTTAATGTTAATTGAAGGTGGCACTAATTAGATCTCCCCCACCCTCTTTGCTCTGATGCATTGGTCCGCCTCATGTGGACGGGCCCCTGGGGGAACCCAGACCCGTTAGCCCATCTGCATCTATGTAAGCCAGCATTACCCACTCCCAGACGAGGCTCTGCCTCGGATGCCGGTGCCCGCTCGTGTGGAAAGAGGCCGACATTCTGTTTAGCCCCGGATTTCCGTGAGGAAAAAACAGGCTTCGTTTTTTTTTCCTGGGGTGATTCTAAGATTTTTTTAAAGTGGGGGGCATAAAAGGAGCCATAATCCATGCAGAGGGACCAACCTTCTCATTAGCCAATGATATGTTTTTTATTCGGTGAGTGACAGGGGAGGGAGCTCACCGAGAGCCAATCAGATTTCAGCCCCCTGTGGCCCCGCCTCTTTGTACACCCCTGACCATGTGACCTGTTGGGTCAACTCTGGTTTTGTTTTTCTTTGTGTTTTGTCCTAGAGGGCTTCCTGACACCAGCTGTCCTGGGGAGCACATGCTGCCCCCTAGCTTTCTGGGTCCGCTGTACTATGGCTGTGGAAGCCATTCTTTCCCTGCTGCCCCTGGTTCAGTGTCCAGACAAATTTAGGGAGCCCCTCTTGGTTTTTTCCATGGCTTAGATGATGGATTACCTCTGTTGATTACTTTACTTGTCCTGTGTCCTCCAAGCATATGGGGGCGCTGTGAGATTCTTGAACAGCCCTAAGTAAAGAGGGAGGCCCTTGAGTTTCAGTCAGGCGTCACTTAGTAAAACATGCTGCCCCCCCCGAGAATCATCCCTTGGCCTGACGCTGTCTGGTGTTCAGGACTCGACTGAGACTCTCATGGCTCTACCTGCCTCAACAACATAATGCGGGATCAAGCTAGAACTTGACAGTGGAACAATAAATAAGATAAAAATGTCTTTGGTCCCGGGGAGGGTGAAATTCTTTGTCCAGTAGCACAGTAGAGCTAAAGACAGCAAAGGATTATTTAGGTAGGATTACATACAACAAAGAATAACATAGTAGCCAATAAATATGAAAAAAAGCAATAAAATTTCATTTGAACAAACCATGTTGTGCAAATGGCATATTGTTCATGTCCATTTATAATAAATGTGCCTTTAGATAAGGCAGCGTCAGACATTCAGTGGGTAAGTTGGAGCACTTGTAGCACCCCCTAGTGAATATTTGTCCCTGATTTTCTTCATGTGAAGACTCATTATAGGACGCGTTTGACTTTACCAATGATGGCGCCACACAGAGGACGTAGTCAGCATTTTCCACGGCGTCCGAAGGCCGAGTATGATGGATTCACCAAACGGCACGCTCTGGTGTTTTTTTTTTTTTTTTTGTAGAACAACGGCGGCCATTATTCATCAGGCACGCCGACGAAGAAAAAGGCCTCTGTATCGCGGAGGCCCTGCTGGTATTTCCTGCCTCCTCACGCCGAGCGGTAGCAGGACAATGAGATGGGGGGAGGTGGTCTTGGAGGGGTGGGGGGGGGGGGGGGGGTCGGCGCTGAAAAGCATGAGAGGTCGCTGAGAAATTGGATCCCCTGCCTCTTTAAACTGCCACATGTGTTTTCAGTCTAAATCTGGCCGCTGACCAGCAGCAGTAACCCAGTAGCAGGGGGGCGGTGAAATCCATTCACGCAGTGGCGTGGCTCCGAGCCGCCGAGGAGGGAAGGGACCCTGAGAGGCGTCCAGGAAATTTTTCTCGGGCCTGGGCAGGGACTTGGCGCGGAGTCTGCCGCTGGAAAACCTGACGGGGAGCTTTCAGGAGCCAGACCAGGGGCCTCATGAATCTCTCTGACAGAAGATCGGGATCAGTCTATCAGCCCGACACGTCCTGATTAGCTACCGCGCTACCGTGGCCACATCATGAGGGGGAGAACGGTAAGAACCGTCACCGGAGTTTGTTTCCTGGGTCGTGCTGGGAGCACGTGTGGGTCAAAGGAACAACGAAGAGAAGTAAGGAAGAGTTTGAAAGACCGTACATCTCGTGGTGCAGTTTTCAGGGTTGGAAGGGACTTATATGGCCAACAGAAGTGTCAAAGCCAGTGGAGTTTCACGCGAGGTGTTTCACTCAAAGGGAATCTAACTTCCAAGAGCACATGTAGCTGTTTTGTGATGTCAAAGCTTTCTTTGCTGAACAGTTTTCTCCCCCCCCCCCCACCCACCCATGCTAAGATTTGACTTTGGAGTGTGATGCTGAGATTTTTCTGAAGACTTTCCACAGAAGTCGAAACAGAGGGGATGTTCACGGGCACTTCCGCGTCCCCGATTCCCACACGGTGGCCAGCCGCTCCTCTCCTTGCCCCCCTCGTATCTCCACTCGCATTTGGTTTCGCTTATTGCATGTTACTATAAATAAGCGACTGTGACGTATTTGGCGTGAGTGTGTCTCCGAGAGAGTCGCTGCTGGAGAAGCTTCGCCGTACAGACCTCCTTCGGGGAGGAGGTAACCTCGGGGCGCCCTGGGGGGGGGGGGGAGCTTACCCTTCTGGATTAGTGGACATTATTGTTTGTTTACCGTGAGCCTTCCATGAGATGTCACGAAGAACGGCTGCTGAAGATTCAGGGAGAGTTTGTTTTGATCCTGAACCGACATCTGGTTTTTTAGCGGGTAGAAGACGCTGTTCCTGTTTCTGCTCCGCATTTACACACACAAAGCATTCCAGTTTTTTCCAGATTGTTTCCAAGTGTTCAGACTGAGCTTTCTGTTTTAAGGTAGTCTGTGGTTTCAAAGATGGCGTTTCTGATCGCTGTCTGAACGGTTACGGTTTTGTTGTCGTCGGGAGCTGAATAATGTCGAATATACAGTAATACTCGGGGAGAAGCATTTGAATTGTATAGTTTGAGATTTTCTTAGTAGTTTGAGGACGGGGTTGGCTGGTGGGAGTTAGGAGTATGATATTTGCATGCCTGTGTGGAAGACTGTGCATGCCATTGGCGGGGGGGGGGGGGGGGGGGGGGGGGTATTACAACAGTCCTAAACTTACCCTACCAGTATGTTTCTGGGGCCACATTCAAAAAGACATTTCGGAGCCTCTTCAACTGCCCCTATTTAATGTAGTGATGGTTTGAGGCCAACAGGGGGCCCCCACACAAATGTGTGGTTTGCGTGGTGATAAATCAAGTGTGGGGCAGATCTGATCGCTTGCCGATCCAACAGAGGATCCCTTGTACGATCTGTACCACGCACAGCTTCCGGAGAATACCTAGCAGAGTATGAGTTAAGGCTCGCATGTCTCTGTGGACGAACGTTCATTCTTGAAAATACTGCGTGTAAGTTCTGGCCTACAGAGGAGGAGACACAGAGAGTTCTGAGTGCAAGGAGTAATGATGGACGTATTGGGAGATTCAGTGCAAGTGAGAGGGAGGGACACTTGAATGCAGGGGCAATTCTAGGATTTTTTAAGGTGGGGGGCATAAGAGGGGCCATAATTTAGACAAAGGGGCCAACCTAATCATTAGCCAATCACGTGCGTTGAATCAATGAGTGACAGGGGAATGAGCACTCTGGGAACCAATCAGCTTCAAGCCAGGCCCAGTGCCCCTGTGGGTCGCCCCCATATACGTCCCTGTTTAAAAGACAGGACACGCTCTTCAAGGTCGAATTAGGGCTGCGTGCTGTGAATCCACACGGACGTAACTACATGCAGATATGGAGGCCCGTTTTTCATGGCCCGTTCACGTTTTGCCACTTAGAAAAAAAAACTTTCTCTCGATAAATTCCTTTTTGTTACATAACCAAAACAAACCGCGCATTTGCGGCGAAAACATGAGAGGAGAATAAAAGGCGCGGAGATCGTCTGGAGAAGAAAAGCGGCGCGGGCGCCACGGCGGAACGACACGATTGTTTTGATGAGCACGAATTCTTCTCGGGGGCCTCGAATGACCCCACCGGCCCGCCCGGTTATCCGAGCGCGCTGCACGTGTGCAATAACGACGCTTAATGAAGTCATAATTAACTGAAAACATCCTGAGAGCTAAAAGTAAATTAAATGGGGACAGGGGGGGACGACTAGCCAGACCCCGGCGTCTAAATATCCCTGTAAACAAAGCATCCTAATAAATCAAAGGTTTATCACGTCACAGGACGCTGGCAAGCTCCATGACCTGATAGCTAAAGGAAAGGTATTGTTAAAACAGCACGTTAAGACCGACATGCCGAAAAGATCCCAATCTAATTCCTAACAAATCCACCTTGTTCCGAACTCGTCACATTCCCAGCTATTCTCGTGTAGACCCAGTTACTGAACTTACACGGCGATGTCTTAAAGTTTGGCACGCTATCGCCGCTGTGATTCAGGTGACCCCTTCAACCTGAAACTTGTTAATATTTATCTCTCCTGTTTCCTGTTTTTTTAAATATTTTTTATCATGGTTTTATTTGTGTGTTTTGCTTTGTACCTGTGTGAATCCCCGGACCTGATGCGTATCTGTCTGACCCGACCCCGCGGAAACACTGTTGTTTTCTTGCAGAAATGTTTTATTTATCGTTCATGACCACCCCCTCCACCCCACCAAAAAGCAGGATTCATCAGGCCCTTTGCCAAAATCCTCCTGCCTCCAGATCCCCCTTCCCCCCCCCCTCACCGGCTACGCAGCCTATCCCGCACAACCATACACATGCCCAGATTTGTTTTACGTTACGGGCCTTGCTCAGGGGTTCAAACCCCTCCTAGATCGAAACCCCCTCAAACTAAATCCCTTCTGGTGCTTCTATCGTCATACCTGCGTGATCCTGTTTGGGAGACACGAGGTGAAGATTGTGTGACTCAGTGTCGCCATTAAACAAATAAATATGAATAAACGTAGCAAAGAAGAGGAAATCCTTGCTCTGGCTCTCCTGAGGGCGTTTAACAGCCCCAAACATGTGCTGTTTGATCATTTATTTAGGAACATTTTCTTTTGCTCGCATGCTTAAGTGACATGTTATATAAACCAAAGCAAAAGAGAAACGTAGATCTGGGTTGTTTCCTTTAAATCGCATTTTCAGCATGGATTTGTGTGGGGGGAAAAAAACGGATCATGAGCATTAACGAGCAGCAGGCCTGTGGGGAAAAGGAGTTTCCAGAATTTTCTGGACACTTTCCATAGGCAAATTAGGTCTGACAGGAAGTACTCGGAAGAGTTCAAAGGTCGCGGAATGAAATGGTTGGAAGAGGCGCACGGGCGCTCTGAAGATATTCCCATTACTGGGCGGGCTCTGACGCGGTCATAAAAAGAGCTAAAGTCAGAGAAAGGCAAAGCCATAAAAATGCTAAAGCAGCTTTATCAACCAGCGCTCCATATAAAGATTAGGCAGAGCCGGACGGACGCTGGCTGTATATCCCGAAATGAGATGTTTCTGCCAGGACTGGAAGCCACATCCATGACTCCTTATAAGGAAATAGCGTATTCTTCCTAGTATTTATACCCGCATTTATTCTGCTCGTAAGTGGAGTTCAGTAAATGGCAAAATATAATTTATACCGTTATATAACTATAAAATGCTACTCTACGGATGTTAATACTTCTTCATGAAGCAGCTGCCGCTATAGTGTATTGTACGTAATTAATAATTGATCTGGATGTTCCTACTTAAAACCACGTTATGTCCCCTTTCTGCATTATGTCACACTTTTATTAGAATATCCATGACAAACGGATTTCAGGGGGAGGTTAAGGGTTCACTACTGTGAACATGAAAATTTAATAATGAATGCGTTAGCTGGATATAGTTGCCGGGGGGGGGCACGACATATCTATGCTGCTTTTTTGGCCCCTTGTAACCAAGGTGACACACATTTTTTAATTTGTAAATGATACTATGCTTTGCTGTCCATCTACAGTAGTGCAGGTTCGCTGCAGTGCTTCTTTTTGTATATAGTATTTTGCTCTTTTTAAAAACATATAGAGGTGAAAGTGAAGCTTGGGACCTGAATGTGAGGTAGAGTCATTAATCCGGCACCCCTGGCGTATTTCTGGGGGGGGGGGGTAAGAGCCTTGCTCAAGGGCCCAACAGAGATGAGACTTTTCTGTCAAGGACGGGATTCAAACCAGCATCCATCTGATGACAGGATGACAGGCACAAAGGCCATACCCGCTGAGCCTCACACCAGCCGTTCCTCGTCAGAGAAGGCCGTGACGCCCGAGTCCCTACAGCGTAAAACGGGGACTCTTTTTCACCTCTGAGTCGTTCGGAGAGCTCTGCTACGAAGCTCCGCTCGTCACCGGTGGCCTCCTGAGACAGTGTCCATGATGTGTAATTAATCACCTTAAACTTAAGGGGGCGCTTTGTCGGGAGAGACGAGGCGCAAACACCATCATCCGGCGCGATGAAAATGAAAGACATTTAGGTATAAACCGTCTCGTAGTATGAACATATCTAAGGATTAACAAGCACTCTTACGTTTCCTTACATTACAATGTAGTGTTTTATAAGGAATATTATTAAAATGGACTTAGAGTGTGACTTACAGTGGCACATCCTGGGATATCCCCTGCCTTGTTTCTGAGATCAAGGTGGATAGTTCATGTCCAGAAAGTAAAAATCCATACCAAAGTTTTGCTTCAACCAATCAGTTGAGTACTCGGTGACTGTGACTCTTTATACTTACCTACTTGGTTGAAACACAATCTTGGTCTGGAATTTTTGCTTTCTGGACCTGAACTGTCCACCTCTGAGACTCTGGTCTCCTACAACCCTGCATAGGACAACCAGGTATGGAGAATGGATGAATGAACCAATGAGTGAATGAATGAAAATGGACTTATCCTAGGTCTAACCCAAAAATGAAACTTTAACTTTTTGATATTACTTAGTGGACGGCTTAGTATGCAAACTAGCATGCTCAGCGTGAAATCTTCAAATCACCCTGGCCTTTGGTAAAATCGAAATATCCTGCTCGGTGCCTGATATCTGTTGCCATAGGAACTTAAGTAGCTTAATGCATCTCTGTTAAAAGTATGCCAAAGTATTATACAAGTATTAAGAAGGAAATATTAATGCCGTCATAATATTGCATAACAGTTAACCCTAACCAGTGTCACTGAAGTTCATTTTACTCGGTTTCATTCTGTTTTTTTTTCCAGATGTCTGTCGCCTTTAAATAAGGGTAACTATTTTTTTCCCAAGTGTAGAGCTGATCAAATTACATTACTTGACTTCCAAAGGCCCAATTTAAATTCACCCATGGGCTCTTCATCACTATTCCCTTTCGCAGTTCCCGTTCTTCCACTCAGAATCGAATGCGGACGTCACCACAGGGGGCAACGGCTGTCATTTTCTGAAACGTCTCTTTTCACGTCTCAATTTGGTGCAACAAAATAGGGGGAAATTCTGACAAAGAGATTTTATGTTCGAGAGACCTTCAACAGTGCTTGAGCAACATCCGGGATGGAAGGTGTTTGTACAATCGGATGAGTGGCATTCTTGCATGATGAATTCTTGAACAGACTACGGAAAGGTCATGCATTTGGACGACCTCCAAGTCTCCATGTGATCTCTGCCTGTTTGTCCTGATTTATCGAAAACAAAATGCACCTGCGGCCCGTAAAAACAGAAAAATGCAGGAGGTGGGTGAATTCCGTTAGAAATGTGGCAGATCGCTGTATATTTCTGCTGGTGTTCTCGCTCACCGGCATCTCTTCCAAGGTGACTCACGACAGATTCCTATTCGGAAACGTAGAGCAAATACCGCTTGTGATGTTCCGTTAGCTCCTCCCATTGTCACGTGACGCACAATAGAGGGGGTCTTTGAGTAAGACTTCATCTGCAAGCGCCCTGCAGGCCTAATATTGATCCTTCTGGTTTCTATAGAGAGCGACTGTCACTGGAGTCACTTTCATTAACTGATTCTGTGCACTGCAGCAACGTTTGCCCCATTGACCGCTTATGGATTCCTGGCATGTGATTTTCAGGGAACCGGGGGGGGGGGGGGGGATTGAGGGGGCGGGGGGGAGGGGCTGAGCTTTGACCTCCTTATTTTTGCCACCTTTGCAGGTGCTATGCCAAAAATCCCCCTTTTAATAAACGCCCTCTCTTGGAAGGACATGGAGGTGACGCATTGGCAGGGATGAGGTTTTGGCAGGTGTTTCGGCTGTGAAATGCATGAGCGCGTGTTTTGTTTTGCATTTTCGACCAAGCTGTTTAAATAATAACTTATCCAGGGTGCCAACCTGGGAAACGGCTAACGGAGGGTCCTACCCATGACGGGTCTGTCACATAAACAAATTCACACACAGTTCTGGTGTCAGGAATTTTCCCGGAGATGCAGGGGATTGGATTTCCCGGGATGTGTGCAAGCTCCTAGCCACATGGAATCGGTGCCAGGAAGCTCAGGGGGTCTGACGAGGCTACCACCTAAACGAACACGCCATCCCGCAATTATTTCACATTGTTAATAAGTACAGCAATCACAAGACTGTTCATTAGCGCAAGAGTGCGTAACATGTTTTTCTGTGTTTGTTTTCACGCCCGATTTGTTATTCCGAGGATTTAAAGGGATAAAACATATAATTTTGCATAATTATGTAGTTTCGTTTTCAATTGACGCCAATCGCATAGCCCAGCTATCTGATTCAGGCAGAAGCCAGCCACTCAAGCCGCCATAGATTGCAAATTGCATTTTGTGTTTGAGTTATTGGGCTATTATTGCGTTGCCTGAAGTGTACGATGCATTTCCCTATTTTTTAACGGACAATTAGAATCATCGTTAATGGAGGCAATCAGGACATCGATGGGACGGAAAGTGGGTAATGGGGATCCTGGGCAGTTTATGAGACGGTGAATCAATTTCATTTCAGTCAAATCGCCGCATCCGACGTCGTTCTGCCTCTGTGAGGCATTTTCCGACCTCCCAATCTCACTCCGGGTTTCCCTGTCTGTTCCAGATGAGCCAAGAGCAGTGCCCTCACAGGAATGACGTGCAGAGCTCCGAGAAACCGCGCTTGTACAAGGTGGGCATCTACGGCTGGCGGAAGCGATGCCTCTACTTTTTCGTCCTGCTCCTGATGATCCTTATCCTGGTCAACCTTGCGTTGACCATCTGGATCCTGAAGGTCATGAATTTCACCATAGTAAGTACCATCCCACTGCATTTCTACTCCGGCTCTGCCCAGTGAGGTGCCAAGCGGGGGGGGGGGCACCCATGGGAGAGTGGAGAAAGAGGAAGACGTGTAGGGATCCAGACACTAGGGGGCGCCCTGGCTCTGGGAAAAAGGAATGATTGCCAGCCTGTCTTGACTCAGTAAATTTCATTCTCAGCCCCCTCAGCAAATGTAATTTGACCATGGATTCAGATTCAAATTTTGCGTAGACCCCATTCACTCAAATTTTTCAGGGGCCTCGCCATGTCTTTGTGTGGCCCCAGCTGAATACCTGGTCCCCTGGTGCTGCCGCCAATTACTCCATGATTCTCGTGACTCGAACGTTTGATCCTCCACCAATGGTGTGAATGCTTTCCATCGCAGCCTCAGTGTGGTATCTATAATTTATTCGGCGAGCATAATAGATGGGGCAGTAAAATATATTCACATATTCAGGCTTGACCATTCTGGATATGATCATTTAAATCCAGTGAGTAACTTTTTAGAGGTCCAGCAATATTTACAATTCACTTAGAATACCTCCCGTAAAGTAAAAATTCCTCATGTGCCACATCCAATCAGAGCGTGTTGTTAAACCTGAATGGCAAGACTTGCTCTGTATCACTGATGCCTCTTAAAGCAAAGCACTTCCATTTCAGTGTTATCCCATCATTACGGGCGTAATGCGTGATGGCAGCCTCACGGTGTTAATCTGAAACGTTTTACATGTGACCAATCAGCACACAGATTGAAGAAAGCTGCAGGTCTGGGCACCTGTTAGTATTGTGCTAAGGCGTTAGCATTCAAGTCGTACTCCAATGTGATTTCTTTAGGCATTCGCTGCACCTCTGATGATGCAGATAGCAGGGGAAAATGCGAATTATCTCTTGAATAAAACATGGTAGAAAGGCATTTATGCCTGAGAGCCAGGTCTGACATAGAAATAAAAATTAATTAGATAGAGTAGAGCCTGATTTATGGTTTGTCTAGGTCCTGCCCCAAAACCCTTATATTCGCACAATTGTTTGGAATGAATTTAATGTTCTTGTTTGTTAATGAATTTGAGTAGATAAATTTCATTTGTCAAACCTATACAGGTAGGGGGGAGATGAGACTACCTGATGCAGGTCTTCCTGGATGCCTGGACTGCAAGCAGCCAGCATATTAATCACATGGATTTTACTGATATGGAAAAATGTGCCGCGTGCAATTTCTTGGGCGCAAACTGACTCGTCGACAACAATCGTTCGAACTTGAACAACAATTTTAAACTAAATTTAACAATTTTTTTTTTTTTTTAAAAGCGCTGAACCAATGTGAGTTTTTATTCTGCTAAAGATTCAAAATATGCACCTAGATTCGGGGACCACAATGTTCCACTCGTTGCGCTTGTTTGACTGATATTCTGTTTGGGAAAAAAAAACATCCGTTACCCTCATTCTATAGCATCTCTCTGTTTGTTTGGCTCCTAAGCAGATCCTGCCCGTCACCCCTGGTCCTGCTTTATGAATCGTTTCTGGGTTTATTCACTATTTATTATGATAATGGCTGTCACAGTGGGCTCGGCGGAGCTGTTAGGTACACGAGGAGTCCCTGGGCTCTTAATAACATTTCAGAATTATTTTAATGATAAAAAGCATTGTATTCATATTCCAATTGCTCATCCTGGACTGGATCGTGGTGCCCCGGAGTCCATCCCGAACAGCACAGGGTACAATTTGGGCAGGATACCAGTCCATCACTGACCACATACTGCGCACATACACATTACAAGCAGTTAGCCTGACTGCCTGAGTGCCGAGAGGGGAGAGGTGTGTTGCTGAGCAGGCTAGGATGCTGTGCCCATGATTGCAAAGGTTGCAGGTTCAAAGTAGCGGAGTGATTTCACAGTTGGGCCCCTAAGCAAGGCCCTTAAGCCTCAGTTGCTTCAGCGACTGTCCTTTTGTGCTTTGGATGAAAGCATCTGCCAAATGAATACAAATGTCAACCTATGTGAAATAGACGGGCTGTAAGGAAAGGCACCAACTGGCCCATCAACCGAATCCTTTTGTGGGCAGAACCTCTGAGGCCGCTTTGGTGTGGATCAGGGATTCCCCACGGCCGGTGAGGTTAAAACCGCGCAAGTGTGGGCTTCTGGCTCTGAGCCAATCACCCGCATGTCCAGCATTTTGGGGGCGGAGTCACACCACCCCTACCGCTGCCAGGCATGATTTACCAGCGTCCTAAATCTGGCTCTCTGACTGAGCTTGGCTCCTCTCCAGGCCACCAGGGCCGCCTGTAGCTGAACCCCTAAAGGGCAACTCGGTAATGGGGTTAGAGCTGGGGATCAGTCCTGCATGGACGTGACACTGCCTTTCCCCCATGCCCGATGACTGGATCAGCCATGAGCCTCCATTCTGTAGCTAAGGACACATCAGGCACTCAGACAGACGCCTCTTGGGTCCTTCTCTGGGATTACGCCATTTTCAGCTGGTCCCTCACTTCCTGCATTGTTATCCAGGGTCACGAATGTTTCCTGTATACAATGGCCGCTAGGAAAGTGACAGTTGCTGAGATTTTTTTTGTTTGACATTTTTTGTCCGTTTCTGAATTCTGACAGAGGTTCGGGGACGGGGATGGCGGGGGGGGCTCTTCTTTCCTACTTATCTCCTGGCAGCAGGAAAGTGGTGTCACATTTTATTAACCTGTTAGCCTGGATAATACAGGGGGGGTTGGAGGATATTGATGGCTGTACCCCCCCCCCCCACGACACTTTAGAGATGCTGCTGCACAGTTTTTAGCTTAAAAGCTCCTGGCTTTATTAAAAATAAATACATAAACAAAGGACTGCATTCATTGGTGGCTAGAGAGTATTTGAAATCCTATTTTTTTAAAAAGGTATTAATTATTTTCAAGTGAGTCGCTGTCTTTAAGTGGTGTGCAATTATTGTCCCGTATCATGGGATTGTTGCGCTGATGAAGATGCGTTTCATAAGAACGATGCGAGAAGCTTCCTGCGAAGTTTATGCTTCACGTTAATTAAATAATGTTACGGCAGGAGCAGAATTAGGGCATAATTAAGATTTGCTTTACCGAAAAGGTGCAGAAGTCAGATGCATTTGCGCTTTTTAATTAACCGTGTTTACATATCATTAGTACGGTAAAGTGCTCTTTGCTGAACATGTTCACCACAGATCACTTGCTGGAGATAAATAATAAATTTGCATTATCTGGAAAAAATTTTGATGATTCTGTAAGTCTGTATACCCAGAATAACTTCATCGATTACAAACTATGTTAATTAAATATTAAATGACGTGTAAGAGCTGCTGACAATGGGCACACAGGTTTGCACAAAGATAGACGCCTGTCATATATCACAACATAAAAAGCTATCAGGAAACCTGCTCGGGCCCATACAGCCGGAAAAGTGACTCGCTACCATTCTCACAATAATAACGATAACATGGGGCCATCCTGTTTCTGGGGCCACACTGAAAATATTACCACCCTGCCTGCCAGTGTAGTGACTGTTTGTGGCCAGCAGGGGGCCCCCCCAAACCTTGGGAGCCCCACATTTACATACACTTTTAAATTAGCTCACTTTAAAAATTTGAAGAAAAAAAATCCCAGAGCCAGTTTCTCCTCGATCATTATGCAAAACACAACCGCTGTTTTTAGAATCCAGAATCTGCTGGTGGCTTTTTATCGTAAATGTCTTCCTATTTAGCATTTACTGCTACCGTTTGCTATTTTTTTAAAATGTTTTTTTTTAATAAAGAAGAAAACGTTCCTTGGAAGGAAAAATGTATGTATTTACATCAGTATGTCAGGTCACAGCAGCCATGGCGATAATTTTATTCTGGTTAATATATTATTCGGGAAAACAAACAGTACAGTTAGCTAATGATAATGCTATAGTATGTTTGCGTATTAATTAATTTCTGAGGAGGAGATACAAGGTGTTTGTGTTTCATCTGTTTTGTTTTAATGGGAGTGAAATGGGGAGGTTTGGACAGATGTTGGTGACGCCAGTTTGGGGTGGGGGTGGTGGAGGAGGAGTGGGCTCTGGAGGAGGATTTCCAGCTGCCAGGGTCCAGGGAAGGCCAGGCCCTCGCACAGCAGAGCAGTCTGTTATTGTGTCGAAGTTGAAGCCGTATGGGTAACGAGACGTCAAGCCTTAGGCTCCCCGCTAGAGGGAGGCCGGGAATTTGGCCGGTTAGCGTAACGGTAGCCAGCTAGCTGAGTAAGACCTCCAACGCAAACTGAGCAGAGCATCATCGCCTGCCGATATCTGTAGCCGTCCAGCGACGTTCCACAAAGAAAAGATTTTTATTTATTTGCATCCTGAGGTCCTATCCTGGTCTGCATGGGCTAGCAGGATCAGGGAAAAGATGGAGACAATTAGAATCAGACTTGGTGTGAGTTAGAAAAACAAGACGGAAGATGGACGTTTCTTCAGGTCTGGATGTCGGAGAAACATTCAGGGGCTGAGGAAATGGGACGTGCGTCTCGGTCCATGCAGGTTCGCCAAGGTTAGGGAGAAAAATAAAATCAAACATTTACAGTTCTAGCCAAACATGGAACTAGTGGAATGAATCAGGGCCGGTCATCCTGGTTCTGTTTGCCCATCCCTCTCAACATGCCCCCCCCCCCTTAGTTCCACACCATCTCACGCATATATCTTATTTTTAGCTCCAAAGATGGCTTGGTGTTCCTTATAATTTATGCAACATAGGCATATGTCACAAAAATACATACAAATTATATCTATGCATTTATCAGGGCCCTAACACAGGTGCATTCACACATTCCTATTAATCCTAAAAAAAATTAAAGCACCCCCCCCCCAAGCAAATTCAAAGCACTCAGGGGGGGGGGGATTGGTTGTAATTGGACGTGTCCTTTAGTTAGAGTTAATCACCCTACATGACAAGAACTCCCCCCCCCTCACACACACACACTCAGTCAGCACTTACATAAAAGGCACTTTTTCAAATATTCCGCTCATC